AGTCCGATACCGCCGCCACCCGCGCCACCAGATCCACCGCAGGAGATCCCTAAGAAGAGCAGCCCGACCACCGGCGAGAGAATCTTCAGCGCGCTCAAATCCGTCACCACGCAGAGTTACATAGATGCTTCGGAGTTTTATAAGTGAGTTATTATCGAAAAGTGACTAGTTTTATAAAAAATTTACGTTTTATTAAAAACTGACGAAAAAAAAATATATATATATATATATATATATTTGTGTGTGTATATGTGTATACATATATGTGTAAAAGGTTATATATATGTTATATGTACGCTATTATATAAAAGATACATATGAAAAGGTTAATGTTACTAGTTGAATTATAGTCACGGATCTGCCGTAAAAAAAAAAAGATGAACGTATCCAATCCTCTTGCTTGTGTCAAATCGTTACGTAAAAAATACGAGAGCGTGTACATCTGACGGTAGACTTTTCCAAGTTATATATCAAATCGATGAAGCGTGATTCGAAGCTATTTTTGTCGCGTGAAAATAAACAGATCAGCCGAGCGGCTGAATAATGTTGCTTGATGTCGAACTAAACGCCCATCGGAGACTTTCGTGTTACACGGATCTAGAATTGATAACGCGAGTTAACACAGTACGGCGTTATTATTATTCATGATTAGCTGAATCGAAAGCGGGTATCTCCGAGCGACACGCTTAGTAAATAGTACCGAATCTACCCTGAAAATCTGACCGAAGCCGCACTTCTTGCCGACAAGTCCACTCAGCGAAAAAAAACGCGTGGTTCCGCGCAACAAAAACAACCAGCACGCTCGGTGGCCACGGAGTTTGAGATTTATGTGGGTTACCTATGGTGTTCCCCGAAACATCTAGTCCGTCAGTTAATACTGATTACCTCCGCAACGCTCACGTAAACTTATAAACGTATAAAATACAAAAGTTCGAAAAAGAAATAGCAATTTAATTTAAGAAAAATCAATACGGTTTATATTGAATTATACGAGTCATTGATATAAATGGATTTTGTTAACAATTGTTTTTATATTCAAAATTTCAATGTGACAGTGACTTGATAACGCGGCCATTTTTAATATTAAAAAAAAAATATTTTAATCCTACTAATGTATAGCATGCTATGATACAATTATCTCGGAATAAAATTTCGTCGAAAAAGTCATTGATATAAATGGATTTTGTTAACAATTGTTGTTTTTATATTCAATATCTCAATGTGACAGTAACTTGATAACGCGGCCATTTTTAATATTAAGAAAAATATTTTAATCCTACTAATGTATAGCATGCTATGATATAATTATCTCGGAATAAAATTTCGTCAAAAAAGAATGAATAAATATATTACGCTCAGTTTAAAGTGACTGCTTCAAGGGAATACACGTAATGCCAGGAAAAAATTATCGTTAGCTTCATGAGTTAGCAAGACGTGTTTCTATAATATTCGTGACAAAAGAAAGTTTATCCGTACATGAAAGAGACTCTTAAACTTAATGACTGCTTTGCAGATAAGGATTTTCTATTACGTTAATGCACTGCCTACGAATTTCATATGCTTTGCGTTTTACTTTCATTCATTACATGAAGAAGTTTGGCTATGCAAGTCCTAACAGCATCGGAAGTTATCACGACTGCATAACTTTCCATTACAATTGCCTGCTAAGGCGTTTTTTCTCAAGACGATGCATACAGGGTGCCCCAAATTTATCTATCTACGAACCATCTTTCGTGCAGATTTTTTGACCAATCTGAAATCAATCGATTTGCTTGATAAAACAAAAGTTAATAAAAAATCAATAAAAAACGATTGAGATATGAGATTGAAAATGTACGCGAAATCTTAAACAATTTCAGAAACTATTTACAAGCCACTTGCGATAAAGGAACTTTTTTTCTTTACAAAAAATATGCCTGTGTGTGTGTTTAAAATTTCCAAAAATATTTTTCTTTTATATTTTTTTAATTATATAGCCGTATTTTTCGCATGTAAAATATAAACAAGTAAAATAATATCTATTATCGTGGCCGGACATTTCATTAGATGAAATGTACGTACGTTTAACACGTTTTAGGGATATACAAATATTCCAAGAACGACAATCTGTCGAAAGCGCGATTTTTGCTCCTCGATGAATATGAATCCCTGTCACTGTCGCTAATGTAAATCCAACCTAATGCGAGCAGCTAGTTAATCAACAACTGGCGAAGAATTTAATGAAATTTGTTTCTCGATCGCTCGCAAACGCATGCTTTTTAATTAAAATTATGCAAATCCATGATTAATGGCGCGACCGGAGAATCGACGCGCGAGTAATGATCAACAGAATATTTAAACACGAAAAAATATCCATTTTAAATACCTTTCCGCGGCGTACAAAAGAATACATTAAATCATAAAAAGCCCTGTAATCAATCGATTACCTAATCCGATAGAATATTGATCCGCGAAGACAGAAATCGCGCAATTTCTTTACAACAGTTCCCTAATTTTGACGAAATATTAACAATGTCAAAATATAATTTAAAAAATAATGTAATGCGATGATTTTGATAGGGATCGTTATATATAAATATATATATGCACACACACACACACATACAGATCATATTTTTGTGAAAAATTTGATACGCAGTTTGAAATGTCAATTGTGCAAAAAATATCATGTTTTATGAGAGCTTAATTTTCGCATTATTCATTATCGCGAAATCGCATTTGCGTATCTATTAATTAAATCGATATTCTCTCTGGCATCACATATATTATTATTACGAAAACGGATCGTGCACAATATTCGAATTTCAATCATTCGGATGGTCTCATTAATACACGGTGTCATCGAATTATTTCATTTGATAAAAATCTCCATAAGATGCGTTAATGGCTGCATCCACAGATATTGCAATGCGTTAACGAAAAAATATTAAGATTTAGATCTTTCTATAGACAATGATTTTAATAAATAATTAATATCAATTTTTAAAGCTTTAATATCAATTCAATTTGATGACACATGATCAGTAATCGCATAAATTGAACATTATATTAAATTATTCATTTGCATTTCAATTGTAATCTTAGATTACAGCTTATATTACAACTCTTAGCTTATATTACAATTTTCGCATTTGAAGCTTTGAATTCATTTTCCGACAATAGTATTTTCTCTGAATTACGCTATTATTGCGTTCAGCACTATTCAATAAAACAATAGGATACCTTCATAATCGATCATTGACGTGACTCGACGTTATCCGCTCGCACAGCGGAAAAATGGAGAAAAAGCTGCTCGAAAAATTTCAGTACATTGTTGGATCGGTGAAAGCGTTAGTGCAAGAGAAAAGGAGAGTGGTGTGCTAATCACGCGATATCGTACGTAAAGTTCGTGCGGTTTCATTGTTAAACCGCTC